AAACCTCATTACCAATTCAACTCCGCATAACCTAACGACACCATCAACATATCCATGAAAATCGCCGAGCACTCAGAGCTTCACTCTGGTGGCCTTCTACTCGTTCGCGAGGCATAGACTCGTCAGTCTTTTTTTTTTTAAATCATAGTTTCATTTATTTCTGGGTACAAGAATATCGCATGGAGCCTAAGCTATGGCGTGAACAACACCCCTCCCTTACCAAACCGCCGAGGAAAACGAGACAAAAGGAAAAAGCAGAACAAAACAGATATGAGCGTGTATACATGAAGCAGTCGCAATGGAGAGACCCTGACATTCCTCCTACCGGCCAGCAAACAAAGAAATTCGGACGTCCCCCTCAGGGGCAGTATACTTTCGTACCAGCTACGCGTGATATGACAGGATATAGGAGAAGAGACAATAAGGAGAGCGACGAGAGGACACTTTCGGTGTTGTGGTTGATGTGCGTACAGTTGGCTTTTGGGCCTGATGTGGGTGGGGGTGGTCTAGGCCGAGCTTGATGAAAGGGAGGTGAGTTCGGAGTCTGAGGATAGGTGATAAGGTGGAGACTTTGGAGGGCCCATTTGTGGAGGGAACCCGGTTTTGGTTGCCCTTATGTAGGAGGAGAGAGCTGCGAGTGAGGCGGGGGGTGACCAAAGGTCGTCGAGGGTTTTTGCAAAGGGTATGTGGGTTGCCCTCTGAGGACTGCGCGTAGGGCAGCGTAGTATGGCATGTTCGAGGTCTTCGTCTTCGAGAAAACATCTGGGGCATGTTGGGGGGAGGTCCTGGGACATCCATGTTGGGTGGGCCGCTAGGTAGCTTTTATGAGCCCGCATTTGGCATATGCGTCCTGCGATGAAGCGGTCAAGCTTGAGGTGGAGGTGTGGACGAGTGCTGATTGGGAATTTGTAGTAGTCTGGTAGGGGGTTATTCTTCCAGATTTGCATGGTGTCTCTTTTGATAGAGAGTGCCAGGCCTGGGTGGATGGTGTTGGGGTTCTGGGCGAAACTTGGTGAGTTTGTGAGCAGTGCGTGGCAGAGGTCGTCTATGGGGAGGCGGCTACCCCTTTCCTGGTCGAGTTCCAATTGACGGGGCGGTTTGGGCGGCCTCTTAGTAGGTGTCGGTGAGATGTCTCTCTGTAGGTGGAGAGTGTGTGGAAGGAGTCTGGGGTGCATGGGGTGACTGGGTTGTATGCGGGGGATGCGGCTTGGATTCTCGCGGCGTATCTGATGCGTAGGGAGGGGATGTATAGGGCGAGTGGTGTGAAGGATGTTTCGGCTTGTAGTATTGAGAGGGGGGTTGATCTGAAGCAGTTGGTGACCCATCTGAGGACTGAGTGCCAGGTGGTCTCGAGTCTCTTGAGTGCTCGTGCGGTTGGGACGAGGACGGAGGCTCCGTATGTGAGCATGGGGAGGATTGCCATGACTGCTAGTCGTCGGCAATTGAGGGGGGTGAGGCCTTTGCCTGCTGAGGCGAATCCTCTTATAATGGCGAAGGAGGTTTGTGCTGAGGCAAACCTTTTAGAGAATTGGTTGAAGGTGTTGAGGTTGTCGGTGAGCTGAAGGCCCAGCCAGCGGATTTCTCTTTTGGGGTTGAGGGGGGTCCGGTTGAGTGTAATGGGGAGCGTGGAGGGTGCACTCCTATCAGCGCTGGTGCGACCGTGGATGAGGTCTGTTTTGGGGAGGGAGAAGTGGATGTTGCGTGGGGTGCCTGCGTCTGTTGCCTTGTGGAAGGCATTTTCTAGCAGTGCGATGTTCTGTTGGTGGGATGAGGAGGCGACTGTGAAAGCGAAGTCGTCGACATATGAGATGGTGATGCCGGGAGTTGGGTCCGTGTGAAGTGGCGCTACATATATGCAGAATAGGAGAGGAGAGATGGGGGAGCCTTGAGGCACTCCGACGGCTACTGGAAGGGAGGCGCGTGGGCCGCCTGGGAATAGGAGGGTACATTTGCGGTCCGATAGAAATGAGAGTACCCATTGGACCATGTATGGGGGGGTGTTTTTGCTGCGGAGGGTGTCTGCTAGGACTGAGGGGATGATGTGATCAAAGCCCCTTTGACATCCAGAAAGAGGGAGGAGACCTTCAGTCCTCCGCGTTGGAGGAGCCTGACTTCGTGAAAGAGAGTTGTTGCGGCGTCGGCTGTGGACAGTCCTTTGATTGAGCCGCATTGATGGGGGTGTATTAGGCGTGATGAGGAGGCGAAAGCGTGGAGGCGATACGTCACTATCATAGACTCGTCAGTCATTACTCCCATGAATAGATCGTTTTCCTAGCGCTCTGAATGTAGTTACTCTGACAGCTGGTAGTTAACCACACTGCCGGTACTTGCATGTCACTGTGCAACTGGCTTCAGTCAATAACTCTCAGCATGTAACCGGGCCCCCTGTGTACTCATACACCAAACAGTTGAAGTGGCTCCATTACATCATGTCCATGGAACGACTCTGTTACGTTAAAAATGGTTGATTTCTGGAAGGTTTCGTGGTATTAGTAATCGGTTGTCAGCTGTGATCTTCTTTATTATATAAGGGTCTCTTACCCTTCTTTGTCTACTTTTCCATTCTTTTCTACGGAACATCTTGCATTCTACTTTGGATTATCACTTTAGGTTTTTTATTTCGTTTCAATACATATTCTATTTAAATGTAACGGCAATATTATCTGTTGGCTAAAATGATAGGCCGGATCGTGAAGGGAAGGTATCGCATGGTTGAGCTAGGATTTGTAATGGGTTTTCTTTCATGTTCTTTTGGTTTCCGTTACGCGAGGTATGAGTCATCAACGAACTAGGTGCTGGATATATAAAGGGGTGTTGTCTCGTACCCTTTCATGTTTTCCTTCCTTTCCTTTTCTCTTCACGCAACCTTTCTATTTACCCTCGCCCGACCGCTTGGGAATACTTGACCCTCCCGTTTCGACATACTGATTCTCGAATTGCTTCAGTCCCTGAATGAGACGTCCCCCTATCTACCGAGTTGAACCCTCTTACGAGGACGCGTCGTTCTTCTCACTCCCTCCTCAACTCCGTCGGCTCCCCGATCGCGACACCAAAACGACCAGCCCCTCGAGGCTACCCCTCTCTACGTCGTATCGGAACTCTGTCAATAGTCTGGAGGTTAGCCCAGACCCATTGCCAAAGCCTATGATAACCCACGGTTTTAGCGACCTTACGGTCGCGAAACATTCGTTCCTTACCTTACGCGAGGTCCCTTCGTTGGGCCTTACCCCGCTTTACGGCCCTAGACAGGCAACCCATTTTAACCGAGGCGGCTTCCCCGCTCACCCAACCCCATCGGCCCGGTACTACAACCGATGCCACCCCATCAAGACACGGTCGGCACCCACGATTGCAACCACTCCATATACTACGGAAATCGAGTTCGAAGGTCACCACTGTAAAGACCACCAACAGGTAGCGGCTCACGCTCACCCCATCTACACTTGTCCTCCGTGCCATTCCTACCTTAACTCCCTGCTGCCTGACGAGCAGACTCCCAGGGACCCCATCGACACCCCCTCCCTACGCTTTCGCACCTGATGCTTCGGCGGTCTCTCGCCTCGCCTTCGTGCAGTACTTCCTATTAGGCATTGGTAATGATCCTGGTTTATGGTGAATGGGTATATAGACGATTGACTTTATGTTGTTTGACGAAGAAGCTTTTTGGGACTTTATTTCTACTGTAGTGTTGTTACTTTGTTCGTCGCTTAGTTTCTGTTCATCTACACCATGTCGCGCGGTATTTGTACGTACTTTTCTTTTGTCTTTGGCGGTAGTGTAGGCGTGCGATAAGCTATGTGCTTCTATGCAGTATAAAATATATTTATTTATTTATTTGTATTTACTCCACGAATACTACTTTGTCCTAAGCCTCGTCATAGGGTTCAACTAGTTTGTCCTACTAGGTAGAGCCACTCCATAGTCCATAGTCTTGAATACCTATTGCTACGTCTTCGACTCGGTTGTATTCCTTGGCACCATAGTCCCTACGTACATAGTCCCCCGTTACATTAAAGACACGTTACGTCTGCTGTCCTAAATGACTATATCTGTTATAATCGCTATCCTCTGTGTATTCCCTACTCTCGACATCCCACTTTTGAACCTCATTACCCTTACTGCTCCCCCTTCAGCCGCAATGGCCATCGCTGTCTAAACTGTTATCTTCATGCTTCAAGTTGTACGAGACACCATTCACACCCTTGCATGCACAGCTGCCCTGTCCTGGTAGGAGGCCTCTCAATGTCCCTCAACCACTATGCCGATACCTCGCACATGATTCTTTATAGCTGCAACCTGTTGGTTGTCTTTGCAGTTTTGACCTTCGAACTCAATTTCCGTAGTAAGTAAGGTGCGCGCAATCGTCAGTGCTCGCAATCGTAAGTGCCCACAGTCTTTGATTGGGTAACATTGTCTATTGGACTGAGTTCAATAAGTAGGAAGGAGTGGGGAAGCTGACTCGGTTAAAAAAGATTGCCTGGCTCAGGTCGTAAAGCTAGATCAAGCCCAACAAGGGGACCTTACTTAGTGAGCGGAACGAATATTTCGCGACCGTAAGGTTGCTAAAATCGTGCGTTATTGTAGGCTTTAACAAATAGATATACGGTAATTTCCAAACTATTGGCAGTATGCCGATATCACGTAGAGGGGAGTAGTTTCGAAAAGGAAGTTAATTTGATTTCGTGATCAGAGGCACCGATGTAGTTGAGGAGAGGGTGAGAAAAAGAGAGTGTACTTGTAAGAGGTTTCAACTCGGTGGATACTGGGACGTATCGTTCAGAGCCTCAAGCAAATTCGAGAATCACGACCTCTAAATGGAAGCAGTCAGGCTGTCCCAAGTGGTCAGACAAAGGACAGAAAACATTGTGTAAAGAAGAAAGAGATGAAAGCGACCCAAGATTTGAGGCAATAGCTCCTAATATACCCAGGAAATCCCAGCGATAATACATCAACCATGATTCATACCCTTGCGACAAATGGAAATCCATAGAACTTTTCTAATGACTAATCCATATCCTCCAGCACCGCTGAAGCGGGATGCCCCGGCACCTGCCCCTGCAAGCATGACCAACGACGCAAAGATCACTCCCAGTAGCATCAACGACCTTTCCCGGCTTCTCCCGCCCGTACCCTCAATCCCGCCCGCACCAGTTGTTTCCGGCATCATCACTAATGGAAGGGGTACGCCCATCGGTCTAAGAGACATCAGGGTTCCCTTTATGCCCGGGCAGGAAGAGGCGCCTGATCGCGATCACAAGCCCTCGAGCAAGACGGTGTTCCAGCCCGTCGGGTCTTGCAGCGCTGGAGGCCCTCAAGGACCCGCAACCGTGGGGCAGCGAGGTAATGGTGCATGTCAAAGGGGAATATTATCCATAGTCGCAGACCCAAGTCAAGTACGGCCTGGAGGGGACTCAATCGCTGGAGGTGGTGGCGGTGCCGCCTCCCTCGAACCGCATATTGCAGGCCATTGCACCGCTAAACCCCGCCCTCCACACCCTCCCTGCCTTTCCCACTCTCCCCTCCGGTCACCCAGCGCCGCAGCCGCAGTCGCCGCCCGAGAAATCACTCGCCGAACTGATCGCAGAGGCGGAGAAACGGGATGGCGAGGAGGCGTGCCTCAGTCCGCTCTGTATCCCCGTTCGCCCTCATCACCACAACCACCGCCCCCGCCCCCACTCCCAGCACACAACCGTCGCCGCGTCTTCATCGACACAAGCACCCGTGCTGCAAACTCGCACCCCGAACTAGTCCCATCGTACCTGCCTCAGCAGAAACCAATACCTCCGCAACCAAAGGCCCTCCGCGGCGTAGCGCTCCTGGGCCTCTGCACGACGCTCGAGATCAACGCTCTGCCTGACAACGAGCGCATGACGCTCAGAACCCGGCTGTGCAAGATCCTGCTCGCCCGCACGACCGAGAACAGAATGTACTACAACGCGGCCACGTCGCGTGCCGAGCACCTCAACGAGGTGTTTGAGTGCGGCGTGCTCGACGCGTTCGAGTATGCGGGGCTGGACCTGAGCAGGCGTGTGTGGGTTAAGGCGACGAAAAAGACCCCCGAGGGCGGAATGGCCATTGCGGGGGATGATGTGGGTGCGCTCCTGTGGGTTAAGGGCTTGGTGGGGGAGATGACCATGGACGACGTGTCGAGGAGGGAGTTGGTGCTGTGGGCGAATAATGTGAGGAGGAGGATGGTGGGGATGCCGGCGTCGCCAATATGGATGAGGGAGCTGGTGTGCTGGCGGTTATGCTGTATATTGAGTGTTTGCATGCGAGGGTGGGGTAGGCGAGAGTGTTTTCATTCCCATAAAATATATACAAAACTCTACATAATCATAGATAGATACGAATCTCATATTTGGAACGCCGTGTGAGAGGCAATGAATTGAAACACCAGGGATAGAAACCTGGGTGGATCCGGTAGTGCATGCGGGTACACCAGGTGTCTTCAGGAATCAAGGTCATATTGCGAGAAAGGCAATCGTCACCCAAATGAGTCAAGATAGTTAGATTTAGGTCTTCAAGGTCCAGTCGATCAGCTCAGTAGATACATTGGATACTACTGTCTGTATTAAATCTATATCAGTTTAAATCATCATCGATGGGCCGCCAGCTTTCTCGTCACGAAATCTCACCTTGGATCACTATCCTATCAGATTAGGGAAGATTCACATTAATGTCACCAGGAGAGCCGACCCTATAGCTATTTGGAACCAGAAAACCTACACTGCCTGGACGTAAATCATCGTTGCGAAGCAAAACCACACCAAAAAACGCCAAGACCAGCTCCCCCCCAAACGGCCCCAGAACCCACCATTTTAAGATATAACTTATACCAATGAGTAAAAGCTAACTTAATAGTTAGGGGAATCATCTGGCAGTATTAAATTCCAAAAATAATCATTATCCCATAGTCCGTTAAAGCTGCCTATTGATTCGGGTGGCGTATTTTCAGCCGTGGCTTGTGGCTGTACCGGTAGAATTATTGCGTTGGAGAATGCTGTATCACACACGTATTCGGCTGCCACCTTTCCTCTTTTAGTATTTATTTCGTCTCAAAATAGACAGCATCTAAGTACCGAATTATGGGATAGCATGGATGGTAGAGCATTTTATTTGGTTCTTCTCAGAAAGTGTGCCAAGACCTCGAATTTGTATGGGGTCTTGGCAAAATTCGGCCAAATTCCGAAATTTACAAATTCAAAGCCATATAACTTCCCACATATTTGATTAAAAGAATTATAGCTCAGAGTATATTTTCTCCTAAAGTCTATCTTACTATCCTGAAAGCTTTGTGGCGTTTAGATAACAATTGAAGCTTAGGTAGGGGGCCAGTTTTGGCCGCTTTGTTAAAACACAAGTTCCCTAACCCACATTGATAGTACCTACTGTCTCGTGCCCAGTCCAAGCTTTTCTTAGTTCTAGGCACCCGATTATCTACGAATCAGGGTGGGTAAGCGGAATGTCGACTACCGTTAATTCTCGCCAAATCCACTATCTCCGCATAGGTAAATGGTATATCCGGACCAAAGAAAAGAAGGCTCGGCATGCGAATGTGCAGAAACCCTACTGATGCTGCCATTTCTTTGGTCCGGACATACCATTTACCTATGTGGAGATAGTGGATTTGGCGAGAATTAACGGTACGCCATAGTTTATACTGCATGCGACCATTCTGTACCTAGAAACTAGAAATTAAATGACTTCACACACACACATAAGCGGAATGTCGACTACCTAAGGCTGAATATACTGGTACATACCGTAAAATCTGAGAAATTTCGTTGCTCTGCAGCAGGGATAAATGCACATATGGACCTATCAGAGGCAGTCGTGTGTAAAAGATCCCTGCTACAGCGCAACGAAATTTCTCAGATTTTGCGGTATATAGAAATGCGCTGATCTCTCTGAACGAGTGCGAATCAGAAGAAGAGGTTATATTTGCCAAGAATTAAATAGATGACTAATCACTACCAAGATGTAATATTTGCAGTGCACATTGCGCACTGCAGCCGACATATCATATCACATTTACCATATGGAAAAATTTAGCTTCATCTTGTGAACCCCGCACCAAGCCAAGCAGCCCCTCTTGTAGCTGGTACAAATAACGACTTTAGTGACTTTGCTCCCTCCATGGTTGATTGTCCATGTTGTCTATAATTTGCCGTCAATGTTCTATCCCTTGGACGGATGAAAGTGGTCAAATTCGCGACCTACCTCTTTCAGCTATCACTAACCTTCCGTGGTAACTATTGCTAATTGTTGATTGGCTCTGTTGTTGTTATGGTGCGCACACTCTTAAAGGTGATATGGTGGCATACGGAAGTGGAACAATTGTGGCTGCAATAGGGCCTCATTGGCCAATAAGAGGGCCCATTTCTAGCCATTCTGCTGCATTACTGCCCCGGATCGGTCAGGTTTGCTTTTCTGGGGGTATAAATGGGTATAATACTGTTCCACTTTGTTCAGTCTTGGCGCATTTTACATACAAAAATACACAATTTCAACCTCTGATAACTTTCCAACCCAGACAGATATCAAAATTCTGCTAAAATAGAACTAAAATTCATTACTTGAACTAGAGTTCTATTTTCCCGGTTTTTTTTTTACCATTTTTGGTTGCAAAGTTATCAGCCTTTGACATTTCGTCGCGATCCGCTACCTTTAAGCGTGGGCGCGCCATGTAAACCGTAAAAAGCAAGGCAATTCCCTTACTAAGTGGTGCAGGGTCCAGGTCGCGAATTTCGCCACTTGCATCCATCCAAGGGATATTTTTAATTTTATAAAACTCACGCCGTGACTTCCCATCATGTCCCAGGACACTGTCTTCCGCGTCGTGGGAGTCCCTGCCCCACTCACCATAGCCGAGCTGCAAACTGCCTTCTGCGAGGAATTTGGTGACCAGGCCACCATCGACCTCAAGAAATCAACACTATGTCCCTCCTGCTTCAGCGACGGTACCCAAGTCGCGTTGGTTCAATTCACCTCAGAGCCGCCGAAAGAGCTCGGCACGCTCAAGGCTGGCCAGCCCTATGAGATGGAGCTCGAAGACGGCGATATTAGTCTTGACAAGGACTTCTTTGGCCTGACGCAGCTGTACCCCACAAGTGGACCCATAGTGGCAGAGTGAGCCAGCACCCCTGTGTAGCAAATTATGATTGCGGGTATAGGCTCACCGAGACGTAGTGTGGTAGCGGTGTGTGGGCTCAATCGCCATGCGTACGGATCCTGGAGGGGCAGGGGGAAGCTGCGCCGGATGTGGCTACGGCATTATTTCTCTCAGGATATCCCAAACTACAGGACGATGATCTATGGGTATAATTCGAACCTCACAGCGCATGCCATCCATACGACACAGGACTATTCGAAAGGGTTTTTAGAAGAACTGATAAAGGCGAGAAAGACAGAGCAGGTAAATTGATTGCGTATCCACGATTTTCCAGGGCTGAAAATTTGTAGACACGGTTGGTAGTACTTTAACTGATGCTGATATGGGTTGTTTCTGAATCGCGTAGGAGAAGAGAAGACCGTTGATATTTATTGGGCACGGTTTCGGTGGTGTCATAATCGTTCAGGTATGCCTATTGTCCCACAATACATCGATACCATCAAAGATATATGTGCATATGAATATACATATATATATATACTGAACTTTCTGTTCGTATCACCACACAGTCACTCGTGCGCGCCAAGGAAAGCGAACCGAGCAGCGATCAAAGCCACATTTTCCCCTCGACCTACGCCACCATCTTCTTTGGTACACCTCACCGTGGCCTTGTCGTCGATGACATCCGCGCCTCACTCGAGGAAGAGTCATCACGCCACGCACTGCTCGATTCTATCGAGAAAGGGGCCGGCCTTCTCGAAGCCGAATTATCTCGCTTTATCGATTACTGCTCTGACATCAGGATCGTCAACTTCTATGAGACTGGGCAGACGCGAAAGCTCGTGCGGGTATGTATAGACATGCGTATGGGGAGAGCCTTTCCCAAGTGCTATGGCTGAAAGTCATGTAGGACGCAAACGGTAAATTATCGAGATCCGGCGATTATTTCACTGCCGTCGAGAGCCAATCTGCGGTTCTGCAGCTCCCACGCAAGATTGCAGAGTCATTACCTGCGGAGGGAGACCACTCGACGATGGTCAAGTTCTCGAACAAAACCACGTCAAATTCGTATACTAGTGTGCTCAAGCACCTAAGGAACCTTGCAACGGCGAATGGAGGTATATAGAAATCAATGAATATGCTTTTTGTGTTTCGGTGATGTATGTAGCTGGCTAAGATCAGCCCCAATACAATACTAGGCAATCGTTTTCTCACAGCATACGCTGCAGTTCTTGGCAAGGATGCCGAAGCTTTGAGACATATTCTTATAGCTCGGCCGGCCGTGGTGAATGAAAAACAGAAAAATGGTACGACGACGTTGCTTCATCTCGCTGTTGAAGATGGTGGAGATGAAGAGGTGATCACCACATTATTAGAGCATCAAGCTATCCTTGATTCTGTCGATGCAAAAGGAAAGACGCCTCTGTATTTGGCGGCTAGTAAAGGTTACGCGGGGGTGGTTGAAACCCTGGTAAAGAATGGCGCCGATGTAAATGCCGTCTGGGAAGGTATGACGGCACTCCACATCGCCACCATCGGTGGTCACAAGGATGTGATTCTTCAAATTCTTCATCTGGAGGCCGATAAGGAAGCGTCTGTCGATGATGATGATGGATTCACGGCCTTACATCTTGCAGCCCGGAGCGGAAACATTGAGCTTGTAAGCACACTACTGGCCTGGGGGACAAATATAGAAGCGAACGGAAAAGACGAAGACACACCGCTGCATTGTGCAGCCTGGGGTGGCCATGAGACCATCATCGAGTTTCTCATACAACACTCGGCGGATATCACCCAAAGAGGAATAAACGGCGACACCGCGCTCCACTTTGCAGCCTGCCAAGGACATCTGGCAGCGATGGAGATGCTCATAGGTAAAGGAGCAGACATCCATGCATGTAATAGCTCTGGCCATACAGTGCTCCATGTTGCCGCCGGCATAGGCTTTGTAGTGGCGGTGAGGTTGCTTCTACTCCATGAACCTAATTTAAGCGCGGTTGACGACGATTTAAATACCCCACTTCACTTTGCGGCGCAGAATGGACATGGTGGGGTAGTCGAGCTTCTCCTAGAAAAGAATAGGACTATCACTGAGAAAACTCATATTAATGGGTATACTGCGCTGCACTCCGCAGCCTGGGGTGGTCATACAGATGTTGTGAAAATCCTACTACGGCATGGTGCTAAGACGGAGGCGAAAGAGAGGGTGAATTAGTACAGACCGTTGCACCTTGCGGCCATCGGCCGTCATGTAGAGGTGGTGGAGGCCTTGTTAAGAAATGGGGCACGGATGGCGAGGACTATTGATCATAAGCAGAATGGGCCAATTGTTTTTGACCGCGATGCTGCCTTTGTAATTCACCGTGTGCAGTCTAATATCTATTCTGATATAGGAGCAAATATAAATGTTAATCACACGAACAGCTCTCTTCCTCAACCAATGTTGTCGTTCCAGTCTATAGTGTTCATTCTTTTACCCAAAGTGATTCCATGTTATTTCTTCCCAGAGTCGGTATCAAATTCGCGATAGTTCTAGATCGGCATTCTTTGATAAAGCATTGGGACAATTCTGGATTGGCGTACTACCTTGACACTTCCAGGACGTCCTTCTACTGCTGCTTCCACCTTCGTACAAATGAAGGTTTCGGCTCAAAGTGCGCAAAAACCCTAACACACACCCCCTACCAGGCCGACTCATCATTGAAATGGACCTAATTACTAATCAAAGGTATAATAAACGAATAACCACCTCAGGAGACTGCTTGCCAATTACATTATACCTCTCTCTGGTGGGGTCAGCTTCGGGTTAGGGCCAGGTTAGGCTCAGGTTTTGGATGCGCAAACCTTGTCTGTCACGCTGTACAGCAGGTATTGGATTGACAGTGACGCTAAGAGACCTACCGTACGGCAGGTATTAGACATGCCAGTGACCCTGACAGAGCTACCGTATGACAGGTATTTGATGTGCCAGATACAGTGGCTGACCTACCCTACAGCAGCCATTTGAGATGCCAGCGACCCTGTCAAACCTACCGTACGGTAGTTATCGGATTGGCAGTGACCCTGACAGACCTTTCATACAGCAGGTATTTGACATTCCAGCGACCCTGGGAAACCTACCGTATGGCTGGTATTTGACATACAAGCGACCTTGATAGACCTACCGTACAGCAGGTATTTGATATGCCAGCCACCTTGAAAAACCTACCGTACGGTAGCTATTTGACCTGCCAGTGATGCTCACAGACCTGCTGTACGGCAGCTATTCGATCTGCCAGTCATACTGCTCTAAATCATATTTCAATTAGGCTCTGAATATTTTTTTTTTTTTTTTTTTTTTGTTTAATTCATTAATTGAATGCAACTTTACAGTTATGGCAATACCACTGAACTGCCCCTTCCCCTCCGCCTCCTCTCACTTGTTTCTGACATAGGAAATGAACGCCCCAGAGCCCTCTCTTATTCTATTCCTCGTTTCCCGCGTCTTTCAACGTCCCCAACCCGTACCCTAGTTCCCTTCACTCCTCTTCTTCATTCTCGTCTTGTCCGTTCCTCTCACATCTCCATTTAACTAATTGCTTCCAAATTTTTGTAGCTGCTTCGATAGCGCTTGCCTTCCAAAGGAGTTTGACAACCGTATTATTATACTCATTTCTGATGAGGTGAACTTAGGGTTAATGTTAGCCCCCCATCCCCAAAAACATGGAGACCCTTATAGTATTCAGTTCTACGTGCCGTACAGTCCCCTTCACCCACTTCTCCTTTGATATATAGGGAACGTACGGTTGACTTGCTTTTGCCTCCTAGAAAAGATGTCGTGAGGCGTTTGTTTTACCTGTATGAATGCATTGCGTCCTGACCGAAAGCAAGTTTGCACCTGCAATACATACAAATTTGCAAGGTTTCACTACTTTCTCAGGTATAACTCTCACCTCCACAGCCTACACATCCATAGCCTGGGCTTGAAAAACCACCTCTCTGCCAACAAATCTAGATCAGTAAAAAGCAATGGATTCATATATAATTAGCTGTCAATAGTGCACTAATCCCACTAATATGGGCTCTCCATGCTCCCTGTTGTTTCCACCTACCATGATTAACCAATCTCTGGTATGACCAATCATGCTTTGCTTATTCGGGTGATCTGAAATACGATATATGCCGTAACCTAGTTCTGATTCCTTGGTCAGTGGCGAATGATATCAAATTTGACAGATCATACTGTGAGGATTCCCCCTTTATACCTCAGCAGTCGGTACCTTACCCGCTACTTTGATTTCCACCTTCTGGTTGCATCTACTATTGGATTTAGATACGTTTGCGACACCGCTGTAGGAACCAAATCAATGGCTAAATTGAGTTTCAAATAGCTGTACAACGGAGATTTAATTGACATCTACTTGGTGACAAATTGTGTACTAAATTACCCTGTATCGATAGCAAGTAGGCACCGAATTGTACACTAACTCAAGTAACAAGTTTGAAACAGAATTCGTCACAAAACTGCAACAAAAAGAAGTTAAATCGGGGACTGGAAGGCAACAAAACTAGTACAGTAAAAAGTCCACTGTAGGAGCAGACAAACAAAAGTGCTCCGCTCTAGTAGTAGAATGTCGGACAGGATTTTGAGGTTGCCCGGGAACCGTTGCCCCACAATTCCCCATTCCGTGCCTAAGGATTAAACAGGCCGCCCAGAGTCCATTGCCATTGTCAAATATGTAGGTACCGGGGGTGGTGGTCGTGATGGCAGGGGCGTAGGTGGTGGTTGGGGGTTGTTGGGTAGGGTAACTCACTGTGAGTCTTGGCGGCCTGTCCTGAAGCACTTCCGGCGCCATCCCTCACCGCTCGGGTACCACGATCGATGCCAGCATGGTACCGAAAGCACCGTCTCAACCTCACGATCATGACGGAGCTCGAAATTTAACGATGCCGAGTTTCCCCATCCTCCGCTTCGATGGAACACATGGATTTCGGATTCTGACCTCCGGGTTACCGGATTGGGCGAATCCCATTCCTCGACTCCGATGTGTTTTATTATAACGACTCGGATTCTGATCTCCAGCTTACCGCCCGGTGTGTTTTCGAACAGTAATCCGGATTTCAATCTCGGATCATGATATTTGCAATACTAGAAACCCAATATGTGAGTGACAATCCATGACCAACATTCCATATTCTGTATTGTTGCACTCTGGTAGGGCAATCTCGGACCGGATTCCGAGGTTGGCCAAGAACCGTCGCCCTACAATTCCTGATTCCGTGGCTATGGGTCCAACAGGACGCCCTGAGTCCATCGCCATCGCCAAACATGTAGGTACCGGGGGTCGTGGAGGTGATGGCAGGGGCGTGGGTGGTGGTTGTGGGCTGTTGGGTAGGGTAACTCCATGTGAGTCTTGGCGGCCTGTCCTGCAGCACTTCCGGCGCCGTCACTCACCGGTCGGATACCACGATCGATGCCTGCATGATACCGAACACACCGTCTCAACCTCACAATCATGACGGCGCTCGAAATTTAACGATGCCGAGTTTCCCCATACTCAGCTTCGATGGAATACATGAATTTCGGATTCTGACCTCCGGGTTACCGTATTGGGCGAATCCCACTCCTCGACTCCGGTGTGTTTTATTGCACCGACTCGGATTCTGGTCTTCAGCTTACCGCCCGGGTGTGTTTTCTAACAGTAATTCGGATTTCAATCTCGGACCATGATATTCGCAATACTTGAAACCCAATATGTGAGTGACGATCCATGACCGACATTCCACATTGTGTATTGTTGCAGTCTGGTTTTCCATATACTCTTGTTAGGGTTGCTCAAAATTTTAAGCCAATGGATAACTTTTGGTATCTTACTGGATTATTTTTTCCGACCCACAAACTGAATTCTTTTGAAACATCTTAGTTTTGTCTGAGAGCCGCTAACCCCGAAATCCAAAGAAAATTTTCAAATATACTCATAAACTAAATTCTGATATATGATTTTAACAACTTACAAGCCTAACAACACCGATAAAATTTTTTGCAAACACGATCCTGTGTGTCAGTAGACCGCAGAATATACTAAAATCTTATCGAATATTTATTTGTACGGCAAGATATTGACACTATGGTCCCTGAATTGTGAACTCTTATCCCTCCCAAACCACTTGTTTAACAAAGGGAAACAATCTTCGTAACCGTAGCAAATCACTCATAACCTGGCTTACACAACCCCCTGATGCCCCTCTACACCACCGAGCACTGCAGGCAGGAAAAGAAGACTTTCACAAGTCTCTCCTGCACCAACCGATCCAGGATATCCGTCATGTCCCAACAAAGCGTCCTGAACTACTGCTTTGTGAGATTCCTACCCACGGGAATTTTTGTCCCCCCACATTTCGCCGAAAACTAACAAGCTCAATCAACTCAATCTACTATCATTGAACAAATCCAACTGAACAATGAACCATTCTTTATATTCGCAGAACACGCCCCATACAATGAACAATACATACCCCGATATTACTACATCTACTCAAGGGTAGTCCTCCAGGAATCAAACGATAGAATAGAGCTGAACTATATGTTGTCGCTAGATTAGTGGAGGTAGTAATTGCATTACTATTATTTCAAAGTCGAATCAAACCTCCAGATTGCTCTCAGAGCAGTCGGTACGGCTTCAGAAAGTACAGTAAAACGAGTGATAATAAATGATTTGGTTGAGTGTGGAAATAATGGTAACACCGGAGAACCCCTGCCTTAAGAGGATTGGCAGTGCAAATTTACTCGCCAAGAATTGATTTCTAATTGAAGATATTGCGAGTGCTTCTAGAGCACCGCGGATATTCCTACCAGTCATCAAAATGCTTCCCTCCAAGTAATCCTGCAGTACAGCACCTCCTGTCCCAAAGCGCCCATTACTCCCAACATGATTGAAGAAGATGGAGACACTGATGAGTGTGAGATGTCTTACCGACCATTGACCCCACTGCCAGCCTGCACTCGGACTAGTCAATCGAGAACCGTTACCCAAATAACTCGGAAAGGTCTGCTCGGTTCTTCCGAAACATCCACTGGGAGGAGCAGTCCTCGGAGTGTAGAATTTCATCTCCCCGAGGATCATACTGACAATTTTGAAGCACAAGAGGAGCCTGAGGTAATTTAGGTACCTGAGGTGGAAGGAAAAATTGATACTAGCCACTCAGACTATTATGATACTCTGGAGAACAACCATG